TTTGGGGGGAGCAGGAAGGGAGAAGAGGGGGCAGCCCTCAGGAATGACCGGGTGGTTAGTGCAGGCCAACCTGGGCCCCTCTCGTGGTCCCATGGTGGCTGAGGGAGGGGTTCCGGGGATCTGGGACAAGTAACTCCGAGCCTGGGAACCTGAGCCACAGCACGCCAAGGTTTGGACGCAGCTGTGTGCGCTTGGGCGGACTCCTCCACCTCTCTGCGCCCATGCCCCTTCTTCCTCTGGAAAATGGGGTTGGATGAGTTTACCACTGCCCGTCCCCTCCTGCCCTGGCACAGTGCCCCTCCCCCCTTTGCTCAGGTTGTGGCAAAGAGAAGGCAGATGCATTTTTCAAACCTGTCCTGGGAGGGAGCCCAGGGGTGTGTGGAGCGGTTCAGGGAGACCTAGTTCTGGCCGAAGGGCTCTTTCAAAGGAAAGTAGCCGGACAGTGTGCCCTCCCCCTCTCACCTCAGGGTTTCCGTGGGCCCCAGACAACAGCCACCCCTCCCCCCCCCAATAAATATCCTTGTAGTTAGATAGGCAGATATTTGTGTCTTATTGACTGTGCGGAGGCATTTGACTGTGTAGATCAGAACATGGTGACATGGGTAACGTTCCAGAACACTTCATTGTGCTCATGTGGAACCTGTAGCCAGGGGCAGTTGTTGGACCAGAACAACGGGAGCCGGTGTGTGATTTAAATTCACCAAAGAAACGGCAAGACATTGGGAGGTTTGATGAGCTGGTGAATATACAGCTGTAAGCCTTCACTAATTCACACTGAAAAGTTCAATTAAAAAGAAAATCAGGAAAGGTGTGTGCCAGGGTTGTGTTTCACCATACTTACTCTGTTGGCTGAACAGGTAGTATGAGAAGCTGGACTGGATGAAGAAGAATAGGGCATTGGAGGAAGATTCACTAACAATCTGTGATTTGTTAGTTTCAACACAATCTTGTTGAAAACGAAGGGGACTTGAAACACGTACTGATGAAGATCAGAGAGGACAGCCTTCAATATGAATTATGTATCAATTTAAAGAAAACAAGGAGCCCTGGGTGGCCTATTGGTTACAAGTTAGTCTGCTAACTGCAAGGTCAGCAGTTTGAAATCATCAGCCGCTCCACAGGAGAAAGATGGGGCTTTCTACTCCCGTACAGAGTTATAGTCTCAGAAGCCCACAGGGACTGCTCTACCCTGCCCTGTAGGGTTGCGATGAGTCAGCATCCACTGGAGTTGTGGTTGTTGTATAGAAAAGAAGACTCCTTCCTGAACCAATAAACAACATCATGAGAAATGGAGAAAAGATGGAAGTTGTCCAGGATTGCATTTTCCTGGGATTCACAATCGAGGTCCATGGAAGTCAGGAAACCCAATCATATATTGCATTGGGGAAATCTCCTCAAAACATAAAAAGCAAAAATGCCATGTTGAAGATTAAGGTGTGCCTGCCCTGTTAGATTTCTGGGTTGGTTTACCTTGGCTCTTCTCAACGCTGAAAGAATTCATGGGGCAGAAGCACTTTCATAATCCAAGTTACTTTTATGAGGGAAAGGGGAGTTTCAGGTATTAGAGTCTCAAAGAGTACCCGGTATCTCTGGAAAGCATGCAAGGCTGAGAGGAGGTTGTGCAAGAGTTCGCGACTGAAGATGGCCACTTCCGGAGAGCGCCAAAACCCACGTGAAACCAGTGTCGGAAGCGACGTGTGGAAACAGAGTGTGGTGCCAACAGAGCGAGCCACCAAGAGACAGACTCTGGGCTCTGCTGTTGTCCCTCCTACATTCCTTGAGGGGGCGTGGTTGAGGGTATTACCATCCCTGATGGATAAGTTCACGGGCATCTGTGAAGCTGACCTGCGAAGGTTGACCTGCACCTGCGCCTAAGTAGCTGAGTGTAGTCTGCGCATGCTCCGTTTTGGATGGATTAGTGGCTAAATTCAGGAGCATCTATGTGATGTATTATGTCCCAGGGTCTGAGCACGGTCCGTTTTGAATTGTCCCCTTAGACGTCTAATGTGCGCCTGATTCCTTTCCAATCCCTTTGTTGTGGCATGACCAGCTAATTTTTGTTTAGGGTAGGCATTTGGTGGAGACAACCCCCTGATCCCTCATCTAGCTACCTGTCAGACCCATGCCATTGTCTTTTCCGTTGCCTCAGATGCATTCGAAAGCTGGACAATGAATAATGAAGCTCAAAGAAGAATTGATGCCTTTGAGCTATGGCATTGGTGAAGAATAATAAATATACGATGAACTGCCAGAAGAATAAACAAACCTGTGTTGGAAGGACACCAGCATGTCCTTAGCATTGAAGATGGTGAGACTTTGGACATTTGTGGCCGTTTAATTTTCTGTTAACTTGAAAGCGGTTAACCAGGTCTCAGCCTGATGCTGCTGCTTTGAGGGTGTAAGAAATATAGTGAGGCACTTCTCCCTCTTCTCTCTGGCTCTTCGCTTCCTCCTCGCTGGGACTGCACTGAGTCTGCGGCCAAGGGTGACCCCATGTGAGCCGCTGACCCGGAGAATTGTCAGCGTCCTGTGACATTTCCACTGACCTTGGAGCCAGATGACTCGGCACCCGCTGACCTGTGAGCTCCCTGCTTCCCACTGCGCCGCTGCAGCTCTGTGAGTCTGCAGAGGGCTCCGGCCAGCATCAGACCCGTGGACTTGAGTTGGACTGGGCTGGGAGTTGGGACGCCTTCTGGATATCAAGTTCCTATGTATATGTAGATGAGTCTCACTGGTTTTATTTCTCCAGCAAACCCAGCCTAATGCAGACACGTTCTGGAAAGCCCGGTCTCTGGAGCAGGACATCAGGCTTGATAAAGCAGAGGGTCAGGAAAAGCGAGGAAGCGCCTCACTGAGATGGGTTGATGCCGTGGCTGCAACAGTGGGCTCACACATAACGACAGCTGTGAGACTGGCACAGAAGCAGGCAGTGCTTCATTCTGCTGAAACTCCAACAACACACATTTGCATACGCATATGTCAGAAGAAAGAAAAATGAACTTTCAGGTCAAAGAAATTATTTTGATGTATAATATTCATCTTGATGCCAACGGTCACGAAATAGAACTTTTAAATCTTTTATGTACATTGTACGTATTTGTTATGTGGATATCTACAAAAATTATATGTTTGTAATATGTGCATATAATTCATAGAATGTTCTTCTATGTATGCTGTTGTTAGTTAAGTGCCCTCGGGTCAATTCCTGCCCTTAGAACCGCTATGTACAACAAAATGAAGCCCTGCCAGACCCTGTGCTGGCCTCAGAAGTGTCCTGTCCTTCCTAGGTTGGGCCCACTGTTGCAGCCCCTGTGTCCATCCAGCTCACTGACGAGCTTCCTTTTTTTTGGCTTCTCTTCCACTTTACCAAGCATAATGTCCTTCTCCAGAGTCTGCTCTCTCCTGACAACATGGCCAAAGTCCGTGCGACGAAGTCTCGCCATCCACACTTCTAAGGAGCACTCTGGCTGTGCTTCGTCCAGACATCTGTCCCTTCTTCTGGCACTTCCTGGTATGGTCACTATTCTCTGCCAACACCAGCGTTCAAATGCAACCGTTTTTTCTTGAGTTTTTCTTTCTGAAGGGAGCCCCAGACACTGTGCCTACTGGGTAAGTTAGCCCAGTCCCTGGCTGACCTGTCTGAGTTCTCTGTAAAAGTCAGAGAAGGAAGGAAACAGAAGAGTCCTACAGGGGGCACACCAGGGCACAGCTAGCCCTTCCTGGGCCCTCCTGCCCCCAAACACCCCCAGGCTGCTTCCCTGCCTATCTTGCCCTCCTCCTACCTCCCTTCTTCTGTGTCATCTTCCCCTACACCATGACTCCAAATTTAAACAGCCAGTTAAGACTATTTAATTAAACGGAAAGAAAACTTAAATTCAATCCTTCAGGCTTACTGGCCATATTTTGAGTGCTCAGTACGTACCAACAAACAGCTAGTCATTACCGTATTGGACAGTGTGGGTTCAGAAGCTACCAAGAGTTTGTAGGACAAACCAAAAACTCACCACCTCTGAGTTCATTCTGACCCATGGTGACTCCATAGGGCAGGGTGGGTTTCTGAGAAGGTAACTTTATAGTAGAAAGCCTCATTTCACTCCTGCAGAGAGCTGGGTGAATTTGAAGTGCTGACCTTGTCGTTCGCAGACCAACTCGCCACCACTACTGGAAAGCACTACACTTAGGAACAACAACCTCCTCTGGGTGTTAGGTTCTGCAACTTGGCTGCGTCAGCTCACTAGGTGGACCAGGCACCACCACGGCAGAGAAATCTAAATGAACAAATCTAAATAAAACAAAACAGAACTTTGTTAGATTTTTTTGCACTTAACTTTGCAGTTTATGTTCTCATAAGACCTGGCAGAGCTCTTGGCTACTAACTGAAAGGTCAGTGGTTCAAACCCACCAGCTGCTCTGTGGGAGAAGATGGGACCATGTGCTCCTGGAAAGTGGCAGCCTTGGAAACCCTCTGGGGGCAGTTCCGCTCTGTCCTGTAGAGTCACTGTACATGGGAATCGGCTCAATGGCAACATTTAACTGTAAGCCAAACGTCTCCCTGGAAACAGTCTTCCGGTATCTCCTATGAGCAGCATTCGG